AAGGAATGGCATCCCATTCAGGGGGGGAATAATGCAAAACACTCTTAGTCTTTTCATGCTTTGGAAACCGAGATGAGCTCCGACGGGATAAGTCTCTTGACTCGATCACAGACTTTACTTTTTCCTAAACAACAGCATTTACATAAAACGGTTTGACAGATGGCTGACTCTGCGACTAATTCTTGGTGGGAAAATATTTATGTTTCTGGGTATAAAGAACACAAATAAAAACCATAACGCTACTTTTGCACAAAGCGAGTATTTCAATGGCCGGAAAGTTTACAGGACGTATCCTGGAAAAGTGCAAAAACATTTTCAGGGACAAGAAATTAATTTTCGAGTAGGAACTTGCCTATTCCATTTAGTTACAACAAAATTTTTCCTCGAAAGTTTGTACCACCAGTTCTTGCTCAAAAGCGACCATTTCCTTTATTTTTCTATTTTTTTTTTCAGTGTTACAAGCGTAACTCCACGCAGTCCGCCATTAGAACATTTGATCAATTACCCTTTTAGCAGACATTTTAGAAAACCGTCTAAGTTAGAAAGACGATATATGTTTATAATTCATTAATTTTTTTCTCTCGCAGGTGATTGGCTCGAGAAATTTTGGAAGATAAACCCCGTCAGGCAGCTGGTACGTCGACCGAAAAAGTCCACTGCTGAGAGATTGTCGGAAAATTAATATTTGGCCGAGAAGCGAAACTTTGAGGACAAATGTGAATATTTTAGAATACTCTCTCAGCTAAGGACATCATCAGTCGACATACCAGCAAGCCAGAAAGGGGCTTATTTTCTTACAACTCTCCTTTTAAATTTCATATCGTGCTAAAACCTCTCCTACCCTCGTAAAAAAGCCAGTGTTGATCTGACCAACTGATTGCGGATGCGCTTTATAACATGACCATCACAGGACTTTAAATAACGAGTTTGTCCTTCTATGGTTTGAAATAATAACGATGAAAAGATGTAACTTTTATGACTGGCTTTCGTACGTCTACTTTGTTTCTTTTTGACAGAAATTTTGCACTATGTGACGCAAAGTTGCCAGATCGCGCGAGAATTGATGGATGGGTTGTAAATGGGTTGTAACTGGCTGCTAATGCGGTAAAAGTCGTCCTTTGAAAACTAATTTGAGTAAGGAGTTGAAAGCGTTTCCCTCTTCATGCATGAAGAGTAAGAGAAAAACGTATATATGTTAGTAAAGTCGCACTCAAGGTCTATTCTGCAGCCGAATAGACTGCACTTTCTGCCAGCTACTGGAGTAAAATCCCTCGCCTCCGGCTCTTGATAAGCAAATTTTTCTCGTGTTTTCCCAACATCCCAAATATGTTTTTAACCAGTCTGGGTGCTTGTTGTAAACCAGTAAAGCTATAAAAAGTGCGCTCTATTATTTTAATATTTCACCTTACAGATCATCTGTTCATTAACGCGCGCAGTTTTCCTCAAGCTTCGTTCTCAGAAGACTTTTCGCTTCTGGAACAGATGAAGTCCGTAGAAAATTATACAAGCATTTTTTTCGCCTCTGATGTATGCTAGTGTTTCTATGAATTTATTACTCTCCCGATCCTTATTCTTCTCTCATGCATTGATCGATGAAAACGCGACTAAAAAACTCTTAAATAAAACCCCAACAATTCTTTGGAAACAGTTTTTTGTTCTCTTCTGCACATTAAAAGGGGATTCGCCATAGATCACACTTCACAGTAAATCGGCCGTCGCTCTTAATCGCTTTCCAAATTTGTAGTGAAGTAAAACTACCAAAATTCCGGAAGAATTCAACCCACAATCCCTCGATTTATCACCGACGCTCGATGAAAAACTGGTCTAATTTCTTTTAACAATTAGAGACCGTTAAACGAACACCTTTTACCTACTTTACGTCATAATTCTAATGAAAGTAATTGATTTGACTTGGCCTCATGGGGAGCCGTATTTCATTTTCCGATGGCAATAACTTCGTTAAGAGGGAGGATTCACTCTGTGGTAATAATATTTGCAGGTAGGAAAACCCGTTTCTATTATTATTGCCAATGAAGATATTTTTGCTTGAGTCAAAGGTGAAGAATGAGTAACCCTTGGCGCGCGTAGCAAGTCAGCAAGAGATTGCTTGAAAATTGTAAAAAAGTAGGATTCGGCAAAAAAAAAAATGCACTTATGTAAAGCGAAACTTTGTCGATAACTGTCTTACATCACCTGGTATTCTAAGTTAATTTTTTTTCAGTATTTCTAATTAGTCTTCTTAAGAAGTCCCGGGGACCTTAAGCGAGCCACTACGAAGACAGCAGCGAGAACGAAACAAAACAAAAGGTCTAATGGGCGGAACAAAAGCGCAGCACGTGCGTTTTGAAGCTTTGTACATTTCTTAGCCGTCCTCTGCGAAAAAACAATGTTAAATCGCCAAAATTTACGTGGTCTGAGAACGGAAACCAAGAACAATTTATTTAAGTTTCCATTTGAAACTTGACATTGCCCATAAACGTTAGGTTGAAGTTGAGACGGTAAACATTTAGCCCGAATGGCATTCGTGAGACTCCACCCAGAAATATGAATTCACTTTTTAATTGACGTTTCCCTCTGCGTCCCCGACGTGACTGCCTACGGTCTCTGTAAATTGAAGCGCCAAGTCGCGCGTTCAACGTTCATATAACAAGATGACTATACACGCGTCATTTCAGTTTCCCTGCTTTCTCGTTTTCCTTTTCTTCTGTTTCAGGAAATCACTTCCCTTTCTTCGCAAATGCTCGCTAATGATCTGTCACGTGCAGTCGAATTTAAATGAGACACTTGTATGTAATACCATTAATAGCTTAAGCTATATTCGAGTGATAACATCACTTTTACCAGGTAGGAAAGAGTCTAATATGCATAAAATTATAATAAACATTGGAGATAAATTGTTAAAAGTCTCTCAAACGTTCGCCAAAACCTATATCTGAAAACAGTCTTTCAATTGACACCAAATTTAACGATTGAAATTTCTTCTAACATAGTGTTGACAAATCGAGTTGCTAGGCAACGAAAGTACTCTCTTACTGTACTTGCTGATGACGATAATTTGCATAAAAGCACCAAAATAAATAAATAAATAAAAGCAATGAAGTGAGTTAATGCAATACCCGCCAACTTTTTGGATATCTTGGTACATCAATGGAAACAAGGAATGCGTTGTCGCGAGTTTGTCTTGGCACTTGATCAAATAAGTATTTGAAATAAAAGTTTACTTTACGCACAAGAAAGTTTCCCAACGGTAAAACTAGCGCGCGCGTTCTTCTTGAAAAGTTATCGCCAGATTTTCGTCAAAAGTGATCAAAGCTGTGTAACTTTCATGATAATAACCACCAAAGATTTTAAATATTTTAGCTATAAGATTAGTTTTTGAATTTTGGTCTTTATCTAATCGTTGATATGATAACAACGGTAGCGTGATTAATGCTTCCAATGTTTACAGTGATAACAAGTCGTGAAAATGAATTATGGTCTACTTTTAATGAACTCGTTAAAAATTAAGCGGGATGTTTCGGTTCAAAGTCTCAAAATTAAGCATTTTTTCGGCTGTTATTTAAAACTCTGCTGGTGAAGAATATATTTCAAAGTTTGTTACACTTACTTTAAGTTTTGTAAACCAGCATTGATTTTGCCTTGTCAATAAAGTGACTACTGCAATATTGTCAATATCGTATAAATTTTGGTCTGGAGGCGGTTGGCAAGCTCAAAACTCATTTTCCATTCGCAATTGGAGATCATTTAGCAGTCAAAATGCAACATGATCTATTTGTGTCTTATTACCCAGATTCAAATTCTTACAGTACGTAAATATTTCAAAACTTTCTCTAACTGCATGAACGCATCACTCGATAGCATGATTTTGCGCGCGCTACATTGAGACGTTGCTATGCCTATGAAAACATTTCATAGATCATCCAATTTAGGTGATACGAAGAACTGACGATAGAATAAAACAAGTCAATAAGCCCTTAAAAGAAGAACAAAACATAGGATTTAGAAGGTAACTTTTAACGTAATGAACCAATAACAAGCGCGGGAATGTGGCTCTGGTAGAATCCCAGGCATAATGCCTTGTGTGTCAAACAATTGAGTCTCAGAATTGTAAGCACACTTTGCAATCGTCCATAAGCTTCCAAAATTCAAACAGATCGCGTTCATTTAATATGCACGATGTGTTTTTAGCCCGTTGTTCCTGGCAACGCATGGAAAGAGATACTTTTCCTCGACGATATGAAATTTCTGAGTTATTTATCCCTGTTCACCTGTTTTGTTCTTGCAGTTGAACTACTAATATTCCGTGAATTTTTCTGAATTTCTGTTCAATTATCTCTTAGTTGCTTTATGTTTTTTTTTTATGATCTTCCTTGGATTGACTACTTTTGTCTCTAAACGTCCGGTCTAAGGCAATGCTAAGGGCGATATAAAAAGATATTCTAAAGACCCATTTTTAAAATTGATGTTTTTTTTTTTTCTGTCCTGAGGGCATATTCGCTTTCGTGAATTCAACTTCCTCTATAAAGCCTCGGTTTTTCAATCATCAAGGACAAACTATTCCTTACTTGCTTTAAAGCGGTCTTTCAGAATTTCATCATCTAATCTGCTAAGCAGAACTCGTAATTATTAAAATAGGGCTTTCAAGGAAATATAAAGTAGTGCCGCAAAGTGATACATCAACTATCTCGAAAACAGTTATTATCAGAATAAGATGTATACAATAGGCTTGCGAAACTCCAGCTGTGATATCTAGCTCCGAAACTATTAAGCTTTGACAGATATTTCAAAACTCTAACAAAGAAGTATTTATGGAAACTTCATAACACCTGCCGAAAAGATAAATTAAGAACTTTGCCTGTAGAACACGTTATAGTTGAGTGCAGGAATGATTCCAATGCTGTCGATGAAAATGGCCTTGTACCAGACTGTGCTGTAAGTTTGTAAACATTTTTATCCTAATCCTCAAAAAATGAGCTCCAGGAATGAATTGGCAGTTATCATCGCAAATGATTCGCGGTTCGCGTGAACAAAAGACATTAATTAAGGGCCGGAGTTTATAAAGTATTTATGAATAATCTTCGTCTGCTCTGAAGAAAAATAACATAAGTTCTGTGAAAATTTCCTAAATTTTCTTCGTATCTCACACTGTAATATTCGTTATTTCTAAAAACATTTTCCCGTCTCTACAAAACAGACTGGCACGTGGCTTTTCAAACGACCGGAAGTGAGGTTTGTCAACACGGTTGGATTTACGGAAGCCAATCACAAACCAGTATTTTGACAGCGTATCGTCTGTTGTACCAATAAGAGTTCGAGTGGTGGGGCCGTGTAGTAACGTAGCAACCAACGACGCCACCGGATATATAGTAGTTTTGGTTACACTAAACAGACATAGTTTTACACTCCTCATAGCAACTTTTAAGGAGTTCCTAAGAACTCATCAGCAAGGAAATTCGAGTAATCTTCGCGTTTTTTTCGCAGAGGAGTTAATCAGAAGGAAGAACACGCGAGATGACGGAGTCGTTTGTAGAAACAGCCAAGTTTCTTTCTTCGTCGTCCTTCGATCCGCCTCCATATCTAAGGCCGCCAGGTGGACCATATGAGACGACTTACACCGCATCATTCCAAACTGGCCGGCCGTACACATCACCTCATTATTCCCTCCGGCCTCTGTCGAGATCTTTTGAATTTCCGTCCAAGATTCTGAACGGCTCTTCCACTGGATTAGAACATTTGCCGTACACAGCCGTCACGCAGCGAGCAATACACAAGTATACCCCACAGCAATGGCGAACTTCGAACATTCTTAATGTTTCATCTGGCGAGAAGGAACGAGCGACAGCGGAGAGGCTTCGTGATGATTGTGCGCGGCTTCGAACAGAGACAGCCCTTCTTACGCATCGAACGCAAACAGATGTCAACAAGAAGCTGGAGCATCGTATCCATGATATATCTTACTGGAAGAATGAACTCGAGAAACAACATGCAGAAACGGTTGCCGAAATCAAGGCCCTTCAGGCGTTTATCGGCCGCTTGGAGAAGGCTTTGGCTGCCACAGAGAAGCCCCTGAATGTCGCAAAACAATGTCTGGATTACAGAGAGAGGAGAGTCAAAATCGATCTTGTTCATGATAACGTGGAAACCCATATCAGCAAGGTACGGAAATTCACGGTTATTTTCGCTCTGGAGCCAATATCGATAAATTTTGTTAAATTGACTCGATTCAGAGTGAATTATTTCTTATCCTTCTTAATTTCGCTAATGATTTCAGTGGGAAATTTAAGATGAAGAAGTGGTGGGCATTGTTCCAATGTGCAATGTTATATGTTTTTAGAACTTAAAATGTTGCGTGTAGCTCTAAGATTTTAAGTGTTGATTTATTGGTCGCGCAAGAAATCGTTCGGTGGTTTCAGATGACAATTTATTTTTCGTCTGACTTCGATTACACAGCCTGAAAACACCTAGTGAATCTACGAATTAGCGATATCTCGGTGCTAATATATAATGGTCTTCATGTCCATTATGATAATTCTTTCAATACATGACAATACCGACTTTTTGTTTATAGCAAGATGTTTTGTTTTCTATTTCGGTTGTATGGAGTAATTTGGTTCGAAGAAACCATTCAGACTACTACTTGGGTCTTGAATGTTAAAATGAAAAAAAATTTTTCCTGTGATAATCACAGATATTTCCCGGTCGATCTTTTCCTTATAGTTGTTCAAATAGAAAACAATAAATGGCTCATTGTGCGTCAGTAACGCTTCGCTAGTGTTTGTACAACGAGGGAAGTTTAATGTGATATCAGACGGAGCGCGAGCTGAAAACGCAAGGAACCATGATACTTGTGCATATTTGAAAAATCTTAAAGTACTGGAGTGTAAATGTCACCTCCTGTCCATTTTTAAGTTTTATTCGATCGCAGAGAATAGTACAAGATAAACTATAACGAGTTATCACACGATAAACGAATTGGTCACTATGGCAACTAGCCCCTCTTCGCCCGTAGTTTGAGCTCAGTGTGAGCATGTGTAATAAGCAATGTCGCGATAGATATGCACAGTTTCTCAATTCTTTTTAAATATTTTTGCCAATCCAACGCTCAAATCTCGTGGCTTAAAATAAAGTCTGTATGATTCGTCAGGTTCCCCAATCGCTTTGTTTGAAATCGGAAAACTTAATGGCGTTTTATTTTTCCTTTTATGTAGGAAGTGGAAATGATCGAGAACGTGCGGGCCTTGCTCAAGAAAACGATGGATCAAGCTCACGAACAGCTGTGGTAGGTTTCCAAGCTCACCCTAATTCCACTTCATTTCGCATAAACATCAAGGTCATCCCACCACTCTGACATCTATTGTTTAAAATATTTTCATGCGTAAATCAGGAACGAAGCTAAATTTCTGTTGACAGACAAACATATCACTTAGACGCGATTGGCAAAAAGCTTCCTATTAACAGATCACGTTCGCAGCTGTTCCGACTGGTCCGCTTAAAATTTGGAGTTACATCGTTACTGGAATTGCAAGCATATCTTAGACAATGCCTGTAATTTCAGCATTTTTAGCTTTACTATACAAATCTCGCTGAGCGAAATTTTTGTATTTAAGGACTCCTCGTCAGCTTCAGAAAGATCGTGAATGGAAAGGTCTGAAAACGGTTGCCGAATGTCCAACTTTACCGCTGACTCAAGAGATGGACATAAAAAAAACTATGCCTGTTTTCCACAGTGTTCTTTATACCATTCCCAAAGGTGCTCACAAGGAGAATTTATTTAATAATGAAAAGCCTCTTAAGTTGGTGATCGTTTCCTTCATTCTCCGGACGTTAATGTTTGATTCAGAGTGATAATGTTGGAAGAAATTTAATGCTAGTCACTCTTAGAGATTAAAGAGTAATTCACAATAGTGTTTCTTGATAAGGTCACGCAACTACACTTTTTTTTTTTCTGTAAGGTTGCTACGTTCTGCTAAGACACTGCTGGAAAAAGATCTTGGAGACAAATACGGGTCCCTCGGAATTGATGGAAAATGCTCCACGCTGACCAACTTCTCCAAGGACATCCATTTTGCGCCTCACTCGGTCACGATTCAACAGCAGTAAGTTAATTTGAATCAGTTTCCCTTGTTATGTGAATTTTCAATATTACTCACGCAACGCAGCGAGAGTCGTTGCGTGACCTACCCAGGCCCCTGAGCTATATCAACAAAACCTCGCTATAATTTGTCAACTAATCTTTAGATTACAAATTCAGATTTTCTGCAATAAAAACGAGACAACCAAACGAATTAGAGTAAATTCTTTTTTGAAACTCGGTTACGTTTTTTAAATGAAAATAGGGAAACAAGCCCTTGGAGACTTCCCTCCTGCTCCTAGAATGTTAAATATATAATTTTTCCTTTAAATTTCAAGAAAACATTCGGCTGAAAGGCACCAAGAATAAGCAATTTTACTTATCGATTGAAATGTAACACTAAATTCTCTTTACTAATTTAGGAGGATATATAAAGTAGCCAGATAGAGCGAGAATGTAGAATCATATATTACGAATCTCAAAGTGAAACGACATTTACTGCTAAAGTGATATTGAACATTTGCCTCGACAGTCAGACAAACAAAAGTTGCGAGTTCGCTGAGGGTTTGAACCTAAGATTCCTCTGGGTTACAAAGATTTCGTTAGCCAGCTAGGCCAAAAACCAGCTTTACATGGGAACAGCTCGTTGAAATTCTCTTTAGTGGCGTTTTTCTGTTTAAACAACCCTCACTAATTTGCTCCTGTGAAAATCTTCCAGCTCTTTCACCCCAGATGAATGGGAGGCCTATTCTTCAGAGAACATTGCCAAAGCAGAACGAGAGCGCAAGGCATCGGTGGCTCTGAGATCAGAGATTAATGGAATATTAATGCAGACTTATGTCGACCTCAGGAACATATTTGAGACTGTCAACAATGAATTCAGCAAGCGTATTGAAGAGACTGTGACTGCTAAGAGGTCGCTCGAGAAAGAATTGGCCAGGGTAAGAGTTATTTTATATGTTAAATTGAATTTTGGGCTGAGTGTCGTTAGGTCAAATTAAAAGTAAGTTAAATCATAGTAGCCAATCAGAATCAAGCAAAATGTCACAAGGAGGCATTTAGATTCCATCTCGAAGTCAAGTAAGTGAAGGGTTTTGTTTTGGAGATCGACTGATTAACAATTTTACAACTTAAGATGCTAAACGCTGTTAAACATTTTTTACGATTGTGGGACCAAGAAAATCTAAAACCTCGTGATGATTCCAACTACATGTACAACCCTTCCGATTTCTCGTTCCTCTTTCTACCACTGGCGTACAGAACTGACATTCTCTTCCAAACATAGTTCGCTTGGACACCTTTTGAAGCACCGCTTGCCTGTTCTCTTGCCCCTCTTCCAACTTTGCCTGCCAGTTTGTAAATGGCATTTCGTAGACGAACAAAATGTTCCTAAGAGTGTGTGGGTCATATTTAGCGTATACAGACTCATTTGTGGCAAGTATGTCTGTAGAGATTGAGAAAGGTAACTCCGAAATTAAATTTCACTGCTTTTGTACCTAAACTCGAATTTCTCTATTATAGGTTATGGATGAAATAGCTTCTATGGAGAACAACGTCCGGGATCTCAGACAAGCCATTGCTGATAAAGAAAACCCACTCAAAGTTGCCCACACCCGCTTAGACAAGCGTTCTTTGAGACCCAATGTTGAGCTGTGTAGAGATCCCGTGCAATACCGATTGGTCGGAGAAGTCGGTGAGATCAGTGTTTCAATTGACCGTCTGCGCATGCGTTTGGCTGAAGCGGAGGCTTCCCTCATGGCATTGCTGAGGAACAAGGAGCGATTAGAAGATGATATTGAAGTCAAGACCAACAGCCTTTTCATTGACCGCGATCAGTGCATGGTCATCAGGCAACAAGTCCGCCATATTTCTCACTAAAGAAACAGAACTGTTACCAAGGCAACATAATAATTTGAAATTGACAACAGAACACTGATAAGAGATATTTGGAGATTTTTTTTTCGAAAAAGCATTTTATTTAAAAGTAAAATTGAATAACTTTCGATTCTGGACATGAAATTGAGGATTTGAGGTTTAAATCTAAATTTTCCTTTGCCTCTCTTACTGTTCTAAAGGCTGGTTTAAGAAAAAATCAGAATCGGGAGTAATGCATTTCTTAGACATCTTTTATCTTGTCACAATACATACCGGAATATTCCCTTTTTAGCGAGGATTATAGCAAATAAGAAAATCATTGGTTTTATTTTACTCTGATTTGTATGAAAACAGGAAAGGATAGAATACTGGACTCAGGTATTTAAGTGAAACCTCTGTTGCGTTTTTCGAACATTGGTGTGTGATTCTAAAAAAATATTTGCACCTCTAAAAACAAGTCAATTAATATATTAATACATTTTTGCACTGGTTGTTGAATAAGATGTGAAAATTTAAGTGAGAGCAAGCAAGAGTACAGATAAAGGAAACTTGTTTGTTAATATCTGGATAAGATTCATTAAATTTCTCTAGTGTAGTTGAAAGATGAAAGAGTGACGTGCATTGGAAGAAACTTGACTCTGGGAGGGAGGGACAGGATGTGTGTCTAAAAATTTATTTTAAAAAGAGTTTCAAGAGTATTATCCTAGTGTTCTGCAAAGAACAAGAATCAAGGTACAGTGCTAATACTCAGCTTGTAAATACCTTACACTTCTACAATAAATCACTTTTATCACTATTTCTTGGGGGGGCTGTTTGAATTTTGTTCTGTGTTTAGGTGCAAAAAATTTATAAGTGAAAGAAAATGGTGGGACTTTAGTATTATAATTTTGTAAACGGAAGACATCTCTTCAAGTCTGAAAAAATACATCCGACAGTACATAAGAAAGATGTGACCCAGTACCCATCTCGACCAGGTAATATAAGAGACGCACTGGAATCTTCAATATCATTAAAATGCACAAGGGAGGGGTGGGACGGGTTGAGCCAGCAGGTGCGACATCATGCTGTAAACCACCAGGTGCAAAAATATTTTACAATGACATCGATTCTTACTGGTTCTTTAAAATAAAAATGTCCGCTACAGCTACATGTATATAGTTGCTTGGGAGACTTAGCCGGCGTTTCCTTTGAGGAAGAGGTGTCAGAATTTATTTAGTGGTTGGTTTTGCTATGGAACGAGATTTTTAGCGACTGGAGAGTGACTGAAAACAAGTTAGTCTCTGGTGCAAGAGGTATAAGGATTAGTTTCGCTTTTTAATGTTAGAGTTATTTAATTATGTGGAGTACTCATTGTAATGTTCGAATCGGTTCTCAACTGATCGAAAAGCCTTGTGAGCTGTGGATAATTTTACTAGATTTTGTGATTTTTTTAAGAACTATACTTAGCGCTTGAATTTTGCATGGATTTGATAATTGAAGCCTTTTTTCATTAGCGCTCAGTAGCTTGTTTGAAGCATTTCAGAATAGGATCGAAAATCTATATATTATTCAGTTCATTTGCGGTTTTAAGTTTGTCCGGAACCGGTCTATAGATCTAGGCAAGGATATGGCAAGGGGGAAAATTATTACGAATAAGAGAAAAACCTGTGATACTGGGATTCAAAAGTCGTATTAAAAAAAACATCAGAATGCTTCTTCGAAAACAAGAAGCAATCCAGTACTTTGAAATAGAATCTCCCTTCGCTTTCAAATTCAAGACAATGATGGTCTGTTTTCAAATCGCTTCACCGACAACCTCGTGTTTGAATGACTACAAATATTCATATATTCCAGATTATCCCCTTTAAAATGTTGACGATTTCCGAACAACTTAGTCGCAAACTTATATTAAATTTGATCGGAGAAGAATCCGCAGAAACTCATAAAGTAATAATAGTGCTAAAACTCAGATCTTCATTCGTTTACATTTTCAATATCTTACAGTAGCAATCAGTTCCTAAATTTCATATTCACTCAGTTGCCGCGAGGCATGGAAAAACCACAGGCTTATACCACAGTGATAGAAACCATTATGGTCTACGTCTTCATTACGTATCGAAGTCGTGGTCAGTATTCATTTAAATTTCTTGGGCTAGAAAAGCGAGCTTTCGTCATGTCTAACAAACGCTTAAATCCTTAATGCGATTTTCCATGTTTTCTTATGGTTTTCCGCTTACTGCTTGATGTCATACTTTTTGAGTCTAACTCAAACATTTATGACGGTGTTTTCGTCTGTATAATGAGCACCTTTCAAGTACTGCAAACTGAAACAGCGGGTGTGGAATGATTCCTTCAGCAAGATAAGCAGTGTAGGCTCGGCGTTAAATACCCGCCTACCACAGTCGGACAGAAGTTAACTGCTCCACATCTATTGCCCAAAACGATCAGAAAAAAATTAAATTAATCTTACAGTTTAGGTAAACGCGATAAGAGTGCCATATGTTTAGTGTAGAAAAATTTGAAAGCTTAGGAATTACTGCTGGCCGCTAATATTTGCAGGCTAAAAGAGCTCTAACCTTTTTTTTTTCAGCGTAGAGCCCGGGAACAAGTGTAACTTTTTAGGGGCTAACTACTTACTATTTTAACATCGTAACGACGCGCAGCTTAAGAACTATTTTGGTTCAGTTCACTACCCGCGTTATACCGTCGTTCAACGAATCACTGTTCTAATAAATGGAAGTATCGCCAAAAAGGCTAGTTAGGAATTCACGGGAAAATGCTTGTACTACAGTTTCTTGGTGACCTGTAAAGAAAGTTAGACGCTTGCTCGAAGGAAAGCTGGACATTGTTGTTGTAATTGTTTTGTTTATTATGAGTTATTGGCTTGCGCTTGTATCAACGCGATGTCAAAAAATTGGTTTTAATTCTCTAAAAAATTTCTCGGTGCCAGAATGGTTGGCGTGTGAAAAGATGGCCGAATGTGAACAAATGATAAACACATGGTCAATCTCGGCTTGACTTCGTTCGCAATAAGTCCAAGACGTTGCTAGGAGGGATAGTCTGAAGTTCATTTAGTGATTTCAAAATACATTAAGTCACGTGATGGGGTCATTTGGAAGCAATACTTGGGGTCTTTAGCCTGCGGTCGCTTCCGTCACATGCTGCGCGCGCTCCTGAAATTCGAAACACCAACTTCCGTACAAACGAACAAAACAATCATATAATCAAATGTGGCCTTATTCAAAGCATCATCATTTTTCGATGGTTTTCTTTCTTAAGCTCAAAACAGTTTCCGTGCCATCTTTCAGATTTCAGTCTTAATGCGTTTTCAATATTTTCGATGGGCGCTTGATATTTAGCTATTAATTTCTGTGAGTAAAGCTAAATCTTCACGACTGCATTTAACTCCTGGAAGCCTCAATTCTGACAGAAGTAAGGGTGCTTCTTAGTCATAGATTTCTCTCTTTCAGCAATGAAGCTTTAAAAACATCCCGCGTATCAGACGCATAGCAATTTCAAGGCAAAGTAGCTATTTCTTTCGTAAAGAACCAGTCGCAAGCACAATACCTAACGAGACGAACAATTGACGACATGCAAGCCACAAGAGCCAAAAAGATAAGTATGTCACGTGACACCACAGCTGTACACCAGTATGAGCAGTAAAATATTCAGTCTGGTTTTTTTCTTCTTTTACCACTGACAGTTTTTCTAGGCCGATATTTTAAGATACAAACATGACGGAGTTATTATGTTATATTCGAACCAAATTCTTTTTAACACTCGCTGAATGCATATGGTAAAACACGCAACAAATGAAAATTGGCCGAAATCATGAACTAAGGCTTTATCCAGCAAGTTTTGAATTGAGCACTCTTTTGCGAACTTTTAAATGAATTTACTAAACTGTTGTCACTAAAAATTACATGCATTTTGTGACACATTCCCGCAGTATATAGATTCGTTTTGCTTCTGCCCCTCAATTGTGGTTTAAAATGTCGTCGAGGAGCTATACAAAGTATTCGACTATTCTATATATAGAGATAAGCATTTAATTCATTGTGACGTATTTGCAGACCTTTTGGCGGAAATAAGTTGATCTATATAATTGGATTTGGTCAATGCAGTGAAGAAGTTTTAATATAGGATCTTTGTGCAAACTACAATATTTTTGAGAGTTCTCAATTAAGTTTTTCTTGGATTTTGTACGTCAGAGTGCATTAAATTTAGTGCATATTTTTAAATTCTACGGATAGCGCCATCTCATGTGAAAATAGCATAGAATTTTGATGTGAATAATTGTGGATGAATAGTTTTTTTTTGCGGAATTAACAATCAGCGAAGGAAACTCAGACGGGAGAAATCCTAAAAGGTGATAAGTTTTCCGAGATAACTTTCTCGGCTTCACCAACCACTTGGTGAAATGATCATTGAAAGCGAATAAAAACTTCACTCTCCTGTGTTTTTGCTCTTCACTTCCCTTCCTTTTTCGGCTTCGTATATTTTAGCTGGCATGGCTTACGAGAAATTCTGTAACGATCTCGCAGATATTCTTTTCGTGCGTCACTTGCAACTTGGCAAAGAGAGCTTTTTCGCAGGTAAATTAATTCACGTTGCTTCGCTCAATTGCCATGACTGGCCGGCCTCATTAATTAGTGCACAACTAAATCACGCGGTTATCAATTATATTTATCCTCAGATCGTCTTAAAACAGTGAACTATGCCCTGTAGGTTAAACACATGAGTTAGATAGAGTTCATTTTTGTTTGGTTTCTCAATCACCAAATGAATAAGACATTTCCCGCGTTTGCATAAATTACGCAAGTTGAACTCTCAGTCATTTATCTGCCAAGTTTGATATCATCCATTTTACCACATCGTTTTACTGTTTATTCAATTATTTTCCTCCCAGCGGGGATCTATGGCTGAAAACAAGCAATTGCTGGGCGGACTGTACGTTCAGGAGAACTATGACGTGGATGGGACGCCGGAGTCGGTAAGCACATGTTTAGTTCAACAAGTTTTTGCTTGTTTTATCGCCCGTAAATATAGAGGACGTTGGTTCGGGGTTAAGCAGTCAATGTAGTTGAGTCAAATATCAAATTTGCTCTTCAAAAGCAAAGAATAAGCGGTACTTTAACTCTCCGTGGAAATTAAAGTCAAAGGAATATCGAAAAAGTGAGCACTAAAACCAATTTAGAGTGACAAAAAATTTACACCACTGCACGCGATCTCTTGAATATTGAAACTCGGCCAAATTTGAGTACCTGTTATGAACGAGCGTATTGCTCATTTAAACTTGACACAACCAATAAGATTTTAGCGCAGTTTCATTCATTACGTCTCGGTTATATCCTTTTCCATGATTAGGATTGGAAGATTGACCCCGAAGACTAGCGTTTTGAGGACTTAATTATAGTTTAAGATTCAGAAGAGTCAATTTGTATTTAAGTTGCGATTTCAGTCGTTGAGAATTCGGTGTCATTTTGGACTTGCTGGTGTAGAGCAGTTGTGATGTAATTCGATTCAAAGTGTCTTTCTGCGATTCATCCATTTCATTTTGTTCGCTGTTTTTATCTTGGTCATTTAAAATATGCATACTAAAATTGCTTGAGGCTGCTAGTTTTAAAGCCCAAAGTTGAAGAGGTATTAATATTTATGAATATTTGTTTTGTTCGGAGCCCGAAATTAAATCTCACTCATCATGACTTTTAAAATGTCCGCTTTGTCTGTATACAATTCGTTTCAATGACGATGGTAAAATCAGCTAGGTTTAGGGTTGCATAAGTCGATTTAAATGCTTAAATAATGTTTCAAACTTACAGTTCGTATAGAAGCCAATTATTGTTCGTCACGCTTCACTATTTTGTAGTGAATTAAAATAGGGCTCTTGGGTGCATTTTAAGAAATGATCACGTGAGTCAAAGTTCAATGGTTGAATTGAACAATGCTAAATCTCGCGAGGAAACCTATAGATGTCGTTTTCGATAAGAGATTTTGTAAGAGATAAATAAAGAAAAAGAGCAAACGGGTGTATGTCTTTACTGCGATAATCTGTAACAAAATTATATTCAAAGACCAATACTGACTATTAAATATTTATTGTGTTCAGTTCAAGTCGAATTCCTATGGTTAGCAATTACGCCAAGTATTGTATGAAAAAGGAAAATATTGATTGTTTGACGTATATTGGGTAAAAATACAAAGTCGAGAACGCCAAACAGGCGATATTGAGTTCAGCTGCTCTGTCATTGGCCTTTTTTCCAATTTATCTATACTGTATTCAGTGACCCGGCAATTTTGCAAGGCCGGTGACTGTGCTGTATAGTAGCGTCTACCGAGCGTGCTTGCTTCTCAGTATCTCGTGCTGCGAGCCGGCTAACTTTTGGACCACCAAGGCCGAAGGTTTTAGTTTGTTCAAGTCCTATCCTGGCAGTTTGGGATCTGAAAGCCGTTTCGTACCCGTTTTAAAACTGGTTTCAACGGCTTCAGCCACAGCTGGGCAACAGAGAAAATGAGCAAGGCTGGAAAAGCAGCGAAGGGTAGCGCCGAGGAGAAGGAAAATTTGGTAAAGTATGACCTTCACTCACTTCATGTCCAAATAACCAAATGGGGGTTTCCTATTCGCAATCGAGAACGATACGCTTAGCAAGCTCAACAGTGAAATTTCACCAACTTTTCAATTCTGTTGGAAACTTTGCGTGCTCTACGATGCCCGCTGTTGCCAAAGTGATCACATTCAGGAGAACGCGCCGTTCACTGCCGGCGAAGCTCAATCAATCTGCTCGTCCAAGATCTTTTTTAAACTTAGACTTGACAAACTCGAAACAAATTTGGTGGAAGAAACTAATAAATGAATTAACCGAGCAAATACAAAAACATAAGTTGCAAAATCAAACAAGTTCAGAACTCTAAAGCGATCTACTTCAAAGTTATCAATACTTAAATGTCTATTTTAGTTATGCATGACTGCTTCTGGCCTCTAATACCGGTGCATTTAAAAAGTTCGTTAATTAATCAACCTTGCGTTTGAACTGAAAAAAATTACTGCCTTTGACTGCAGCAGGAATTTTTAGTTGTCTAATAAATGTTTTTAAAAGCAACAAATAAATTTGTTAGGATTTCATCGAGTACTCACACATTACGTAACTCGTGACCACCGGCTGTTACACGCAAACATCACGTGTTCCTGACGTCAAGACGTCAGAACTGACCTTATCAAAGTACAGCGTTAACACTTAGAAGCATACAATTGAATCTTGCTAGTACATATATCCGGCTTTCAAGATTTGCTTATAGTGGTTTACAGCCGGTGCATTCTAGTGACTAACATAATGAACATCAGTAAAAATCCACACATATAATATGGCGAAAACGAGACAAAAACGCGCTGGTTACATGACAAAGCCAATTCCCTGTCTTGCAAATTGAGTTATTTACTATTCGAAGGTAGCAAATCAAATCTCGGACTTGAGAAATTATTTTCTAAGTAACGCAATATAAGCTAATGCACGTGGAAATAAGTTTATACCGCTGTTCATGATAACAGGCTTCCAATAATGTTTATATTCATTATGCATTACAATATTACAAGGAAGATTGATTGGTTATTTAAAGCCGGCAGTTTACTAAGCAATGCATTTTGTAGGGTTTGGAAATGCAGTTTCATCCAAACCGAAAAAGCATTTTTTTTTTTTAAGTTATTGATGAGGTTTCAGGCCTGTGCTCGGACGCACGCAAAAAATAATGATGATAATAAGACAAAAATTATCAGTATTACACGTTCTGGCTTAATATTTCTTGTATTCATACTTTCAGTTCACTAATCTTAAAAAAAAAGGTTCCTTATCATGACTAGCCAGACAAACCGGAGCCAGTTTAAATCTAAAATAAGCAATCTATTAAGGTTCAGAACGAATATCTATACTCTGATGTATGAGTTACGTCGAGAATATATACATATACAGAAAAATGTTATCAGAGTTTTCATCTATTTATGTGCAATAGGAGATTGGTGCCAATTTATGAAAATTATTCCTGGTACATGTAACGTGGAGAAAATCTCGTGCATTTTTAGGAATAAATTGAATATTGCTCTGCTACATCGTAATGAAACGGCCGGTGAACGAGTGCCGTTGATGTCAAACTGACGAAACTTAAAGGCAACTTGATCTCGGAAATAGAGAACATTTTGTCAAATGAGTCATCCTGTGTCAAGATTAAAATCATATGAAGTGCCTAAGATCCGCAGGAAGAGGGAGATTTCGCACATGCCGTGAAATTTGATGTGCAAATTGAAGAGAGTTCCCGCAGGTCCAGTACGACCGCCATATTGGTTCGGACTTGCTGTACGTAGTTTTCCATTTAACTGTTCACGTGGTACATGATTGGCAGCAGTTATTTAATCTCCACGTGGGTTTCCACAGGGGTTGTGTTCTAAAATGGCCGACGTAGAGGAAGAGGAGGTGTAGGAAAATTGTTTGTTTCTTCAAACACCGTTTTGCTTTTGTTTCTAGAAACTTATAGCGAAACGTTTTTTTTTTTGCTTTCTTCTTTCCAGTTTGGGCGAAGTCAGAGTTACCGAGTCGCAACGACACCCCTAGTGAATGATGGTGCGGCTAAAAAAGATGGCGGAAAAACCGGTAAGAAGGTGTCGAAGCGAAAAGCCAAGAAGCTGGAAAAGAAGGAAAACCTTGAAGATCTCAAGAAAGAATTAGAAATTGTGAGTAGATCGATTACTGTCTGGCCTCTATTGTCAGTGAATAGAAGCAGCAGAAGTTAATTTCTCTTGTTCTCAATGGTAGGACTGGCATACAATCGAGTTGGATGAAGTGTGCAGGCGTTTGGAAACGAATGTGGAAAGAGTAAGCACATATTTTTTATGAATTCTTGTCTATTTTAACACTAGTACTTTGTCACTGAATCAGCATCAACGACTGTCTTTGACAGATTGTCTATTCTTGAGATCGAAATAGGCTTAATCGTTATATAACTTCTCGTTCAAATACACTTTACTTACAAGCCGGTTTACTACGCTTATGCAAATTTCAGAGCGTTTTGAAACATTAAAAATGTACGAAATATTGTATCGATTATCCTCTGATTGCTAGTCGCTGAATTTGTTCGACTGATCCTAAATCTTTAGCTTTCTTTGAAGATACGAACCGTAGTGATGATTTGAATTCATGATATAACGGTTGGGGTTGTGATTTACTAGTATCCTCGCTCCAAATACAAATCGAAATCAACGAAACGTAGTAAGATGCTTTATTAAATTTAAACCAACAGTCTTTTAAGCTTCAATTTTAGAATTTTCAAACTGAAAACTTTACTTTCATCAGCACGTCGTTTCTATCTACAGATCGGCTAGATGTCTGTTCAAAAGTAGAACTTGTATATTATCTGTGCGGTTTTCAATTTCGGTACAAACTTTCACGCGCAATTGGTATAGGCTACATCAAATCAAATGTTATTGTAAAAATTCAAACAGCAGATCTGCAGCGACGTGAAAGTTTCGATTTGCGTGAAAGTTTCGATTTGCATGAACGCGTCGATCAGTGTGGCCCGGTAAAGGCATGTTTTTGATAAGTCCAGCAAACGTGGGTTGTCAGTAAAAGCATTACAGTTATATATTATTCATGGCTTCGAATGGTTGAATGTGATTTTCGATTTGCTAGTAGACGATGGTGTAAAGTGATTTCTTGTCGAGAACGTTTCGACGCTCGGGCAATCATTAATTCATCGAAGAATTACGCCCATAGTACTTTACATTTAATTTTGTGGGTTTGAATCGGTTGAATCACCAAAGAATGGTGCAATTAATTTAATTTCCTTGACTCTACGAAATTATATTCTTTGTCATATCTCAAAATTCTGTTTTGCAAAACGCGGTTTAGTTTAACCCAGGGTTATGATCAGATTTGTCATCCTGCAGGTCAGGTGCATATAATTACATCGATCATTCCCATGACGTTTCCGTCACTCGCCAGTAGAAGAGAACCATAGACTTACAGACATAGAATTAATGTTTCTTGAAAGTAATCTTTCTTGTTTTCTTTCACGTCTGTAATCAGTATTTTAATCTCTATCTGCTTTGCAGATTATATATGTATCTGTTTTTGTTTGAAAGTGAAATTATTCTGATGTAACTAAGAAACAGGAGATAATTAAGTTAGAGCTCCATTCTGTTTTTTCTGGCAAGAAAATCTGAACAGACAAATAGTTTGCACAAACCAGAACAAACACAGCCCCTTACTTCATTATGCAAACAGTTCATGCATAAAGAAAACAATATCAAAAACAATAGATTATCTTTGAGAGTACAGCTTTGTTTTGGAATAATAGAGGGTTTCAAAGAAATCTTTCTCAAACTGGATAACACATTTATACTGCGACGAAGTACAGTCATGCGAAGTACAGTCATGCATCATGAACTTGATTTGTTCAGACAAACTCGCAGGTCATGAACCCATTCAAGAATCACTTCACTTGGGAAATCAGAACATTTCAAAGGGGGAGGGTAGAAGAAATTTGTACTTTAAAAGTTTGCTCTTCAGAGACACAAGAAAAATTTTTTTGAAGGGAAATCTCTTGAATTGCATGAAGTGAAGGAGGCAAAGCAATATTCCCATTCACTATGCTTGTGAAACCATGTGAACTTTGCACATGTAGTAACATGATTTCGAGTGCAATTTGTTGTTAATAAACACAATTAAATTTTTTCAAAGACAATTTCGCGAACATGTGAGAGGAGTGCAATTTTTAGTCACTTATTTACACCAAATTGCACTCAAAATGATTTCATTACTTATTACTAATTTTTTTTTGAACGGATGAACTCTTGACAGCAGTTGTAGTAGTTGTAATCTGCATCCATAATTATTTGCACTGGCATTACTTGAAAAATGCACATGTTTTCAGCCAATCAGAACTGTAATAATTGACATGAAAAAACTATGTTCTAGTGAGGGCAGGGCTCGACACTAACTTTTCAACTTACTAGCCAAGTGGCTAGTGACATCTTAGATGTTACAACAATTTCAGTTTGTTTAGTAGCCAAACTGGCTAGTAGAAATTGAAAAACCACTAGCCAAAAGTGAATTTCTACTTGTCTGTAGCTGTTAGGGACAAGCCCTGGAAGGGCTCTTGACTTGCAAGACTTCACATAATGTTTTTGTTTGTTTGTTTGTTTTTTTATAGGGTCTTACTGTAGAAAAAGCCGCAGAAGTTCTTGAGCGAGATGGCCGTAATGCTCTGACTCCCCCACCCACCACCCCTGAGTGGGTGAAGTTCTGTCGTCAGCTGTTTGGTGGTTTTGCTATGCTGTTGTGGATTGGTTCCATTCTCTGTTTCGTCGCCTACACGATTCTTGTATTTACAGAAGAAGAACCACCTTCAGATAATGTATGCACACATGTGTAGTTAACAGCAACTACAATTGTGGTTATGTCTAAAATGGATTCAAATCAAGGGCTAAATTTGTCTTTTATTTTTTTTTTCTCTTTCAGTTATATCTTGGGATAGTGTTGGCTACTGTGGTGATTGTGACTGGGATCTTCTCATATTACCAGGTATACAATGTTCACCCTTACTTAAGCATGCCAGGTAAAAGAAATGTTCAAACACTTAGAGGAATTCCTGTTGAAGAATTGGAAGCAATTTTAGGCAGTAAAAGGAGTTACTACAGGCAGTGAGTTTGATCTGGTTGCTGCCTGAAATGGAGAAAACTGGGCATGTACAGAGTCTAGTACTCAGTACATTTTATATTAGGTTTGTCTTTGCTTTTACTTGTAAATTATAGAAGTCCCATCTTAACAATGACAATGGTGATGTTTCATATTTCAGGAAGCTAAGAGTTCTCGAATCATGGACAGCTTTAAGAATTTGGTTCCCCAAGAAGCAAATGTTTTGCGAAGTGGCGAGAGACGTACTATTAATGCAGAAGAAGTTGTTGTCGGTGACATCATTTTTGTGAAAGGTGGTGACAGAGTTCCTGCAGACATCAGAGTAGTAGAAGCAAGAGGTTTCAAGGTATAGCAACCTGCTTCCAAGACTAATGCCTTAAAAAGTGCCTAATCTTTTCCAGAAAAATTCAGTCCCCATTACAAGAGCATAATTTGGTTTTATTGACTGAAATGGAGAAAACTGGCCACTGTTAAGAGTTTTTAAAGCTGATATTTCAAGTATTAGCCCTTTGTCAGAGGAAATGAAGGAATTATGGGATGTGTGTGGTTTATATACAGAAAGATGGAGCTATGCCATTGTTGAAAAGATGGTAACATGATCTATGGCATTATGTGGCCTTTCCCTTTATCTAGGCAATTCAGAAAGCAGTAAAACTCTACATCAAAAATTTATCTTTCAAATTATTATAAACATCATTGTCACTTGCCTGTCCTAATTATCCTGCTATTTAATTATATTAAGCACAGTTGTTGGCACATTTTTATTTGAAGGTGGACAACTCCTCACTCACTGGTGAATCTGAGCCCCAGAGCAGAGGCCCTGACTGTACCAATCAAAATCCTTTAGAAACCAGGAATCTTGCTTTCTTCTCAACAAATGGACTGGAAGGAAACTGCATTGGTATCGCTGTGCAAACTGGAGACAACACTGTCATGGGACGTATTGCTAACTTGGCTAGTGGTCTTGGCTCTGACAAAACTCCAATTGCTATTGAGATTGAACATTTTATCCACATCATTACTGGTGTTGCTGTCTTCCTTGGTGTCTCCTTTTTCATCATCGCATTTATTTTGAAGTACAACTGGCTAGAAGCTGTGATCTTTTTGATTGGTATCATTGTGGCCAACGTACCAGAAGGTCTTCTTGCAACTGTTACAGTAAGTGTGGACATTCATTTTAATCCAGAGTTCTGTGTGAGAGAATGCACAAAACCTTATCAGACTCATCTCCAGTTTCTCAGGAAAAATTTGTGTGACTTTTCATGTGAAACTCCACAATCTTCTATTTGAACTGTTGGGCCACTTCATGAAATTTGTTTTTCAATGGAAATCATTGTTTTTGAGAAACCAGATGCTCCAAGAATTGATCTTTATTCAGCTACTTAAGGCAGAGTTGTGATTATGTGAAGGTGTAGTCTTATCGTCCGGGTGAGTGTAGTCCTGAGAAGGACTGTTGTCGGTGGTAGTGACTGACGTTTCGACAACCTGTGCGGAAGTCATCATCAGAGTCAAGTGAATGATTGTTGTCAGTAGAATATTCTTATTCCAGTTCGTGAATAAGAACATTCTACCGACAACAACAATCATTCACTTGACTCTGATGATGACTTCCGCACAGGTTGTCGAAACGTCAGTCACTACCACCGACAACAGTTCTTCTCAGGACTACACTCACCCGGACGATAAGACTACACCTTCACATGTTACCCCGGGGTTCAAACTATTTACTGCAGAGTTGTGATTAGGAATTCTAATGTGACATGATCTGAGCAGGTGGTTCAATTGAACTATGCTTGCAGTGCAGCATGCCTCCCTGGAAGGATCCAGGGACAGGCTTCCCTGGAAATCATTGAAATTTGATTCTCTCTGAGACATGATTTACAACCTTCTGGGACAAATTCGACTAATCTTTTTTGATGTTAGATTAATTTTAAAAAGTAGTTGTTTCCTGTTTTTGATCTCAATTCACAAAGTTACTGGGGAAAAATGGTCCGAGTTTTTTTTTTTTTTGCTTCTTATCAGCTTCTAATGACAACCGTGGCTAAGGTAAAACTTATCTGGTCATTTTTCATGTGCATGCACATGTAGTTGGACAGGTACTATCCCAATGTCTTTGATAACTGCATGTCCAATGCCGGCAAACTAGGATTTTAATGTTTGCATTAGTTGAAATTTAAATTCAATGTTTTCCTTTTCTTTGTGAAGGTGTGTTTGACCCTCACAGCTAAAAGGATGGCTTCCAAGAACTGCTTGGTGAAAAATCTTGAGGCTGTGGAGACTCTTGGCAGTACATCAACAATCTGTTCTGATAAGACTGGTACACTCACTCAAAACAGAATGACTGTGGGTAAGGAACCATTGTTAGCACTTTTATACCCTGATCATAATCAGAAAATACACTGATTTGTTTCTTATTTAACCTGCTGGCAGAGGCGTTTATTTTTTAACTTCCCGTACGGTCCACATAGAAATAAAGCCCTCTGTGCTCGGCCTGTTAAATCTTCTTCAAGCATGCGTGGCCTGTTGCGTAGAAACAAATTAGTTCCTGGTAGTACTCGTTTAACTAAATAGGATGCGTGTGCATAAAATATTTAGGAGCCAAGTGGCTACCTGAATAAAAAAGTTAATTTTACGCCCTGTAGTGCCAACTTAGATGTTACAACAATTTCAGTTTATTTACCAGCCAAACTGGTGAGTGGAAACAGAAAACCACTATCCAAAACTGAATTTCTACTCGTCTGTAGTTAGTTGGCTACTGTTAAGTGTTGAGCCCTGCTTTTATCCAGTGGCCAAACCTACATTTAATTGCATTTGGTTGTACTTTCAGCCCACATGTGGTTTGACAACGTAACAATTGAAGCTGACACAACTGAAGATCAATCAGGAGTTTCCTTCAATAAGGTGAGAGACATTTTCAGCTTTCAAGCTCTCTTGCTCAGTGGGCAAAGCCCAAGATAAGCTCTGATTCAAACCATCTGAAGAGTCATTGGGAGGGTTTTTGAAAAGAAGTGGATTCTGTGGAAAGAACCATTTTTCAGGTTCCGTCAACATTCCTTTTTTTTTTTTTTTTCCAGACATCAGATACATGGAAAGCACTTGCTCGAATTGCTGGACTTTGTAACAGAGCAGTATTTAAAGCTGATCAAGACCATGTTCCCATTTTGAAGAGGTATCTTGTGCTTCTCTCTCTCCTCTCTCTCTCCTCTCTCTCTCCTCTCTCTCTC